ATTGCACCTAAAACATACTTATGACCCTACTTAAGTCAAAAACTTAGCAAGCTTTATGTTACGACCCCCTGTGGGGGTCGTAACATAAAGGGTACTTAAGTGTAAGACCATGCTTAAGTAGGACTTAAGTACAGTCTTAAACTTAAGACCGTAACTAGAAACGTGCTAAGATTTGACAATCTTAGCAAAACTTAGGCAGCCAGTAGAGGTGACTTAAGCATGTCTTAACTTTCCTCAACATACATTTAGAACTATTTAAGGTTTATTTTCAATGTTAAAACATTCCCCTATTTATATTATGCATTAAAAAAATAATTTTCTCTATTTAATATACTGGTATAAGAAAGGGGGGGATTATCACTGATTCCAATATCACTCTCTAAATAAAGTACATTTAAATGCAAAATATTATTTTGGGGATACGTTTGAAATATTAGCGGGACCTAGGTTATAAACACTAATAATTTTAAGTAAATCATACACAGTAATTATGAATTTGCTTGTTCACTGTGAAAAAATGAGATATTATAGATTTTAAAAATTGTCGGTGAATTAAAGAAAACTCATAAAGATTGTCTGTAAATTAGATTGAATGTAGAACGCAACAAGCGAGGATTCAGACAGGGTTCACTACCGTTCGAGGCGAGAGAGAGAGAGAGAGAAAGTTAAAGAGAGACAGATAGTTGAGAAGTTGGAGGTATACGAAAAATTGTTTTCTAAAAAAATTCTTTTCCATCCTTTAAATTGTAAATAAATATTAATATCATAAAACGTCTGTAGTCTCTTCTTGCTGATAGGGGAAGAAAAAAAAATTAAACATGTCCCTATTGATTTGTATTTTTTTTTTTATTAGAGTTTCAATTTCAAGTACATAGACGTTCGGTTATTGTGCCATGTCTGCGAGAATTACAATTTGAAAGCAAGTGAACATTTGTCAAAAGAAAAGAATAACAACAAACGGTAAAGTGAAAACATCACAGTCTCGAGTGATAAACAATATTCACGCATTTACAATAAACGACTATTGCCACTTTGTGACCGTGCAATATTTGTTTTCAAATATTCAGAATAATTTAAACAGAATTATACTTTTAATACGAAATCTAATCTAACCTAGCTAAAACCGTTAGGTAAGGATGTCAACTTTATTATATGTGTAATTATAAACGTAACTAAATCATTTTTACAAATATATTTACATTGTGTAAATAAATTGAAATAAACTCGGATGATTCATAAAAAATATTTTGAACATAAGTTTGACTTAGCTAAGACCTAGTTAAGTCCGTTTTATGTTACAGTTTAAGACATACTTAAGTAGTACTTAGGCAGGTCTTAAGATTGCACCTAAAACATACTTATGACCCTACTTAAGTCAAAGACTTAGCAAGCTTTATGTTACGAAAACATATTGACTGAGCACAGTGTGAGAAAGTTGATTTATAGATCCATAAATTGTGTGGTCACAAAAGTTGTGTTTTTCTCTTATAATATGTAATGTATAATGTGGTCACAAAAGTTGTGTTTTTCTCTTATAATATGTCATGTATAATGTAATTCATTACTTTTACAAAGTAATTGTAATTTAATTAATTAATTTTCTGAATGAGAGTAATGGTAATGGTAATTGTAATGGTAAAAATTCCCACGTAATTGTAATTTAATGCATTACATTGCAAAGTAATTGACCCCAGGTCTGAATGTTACCATATAGGGTCTATCAGATGATACTACCAAATTGACATACTTTCTTTATTGACTTAACTAAATACATTGTATTTAAGTGCAAATTAAATTAATATTCTTTTTTTAAACAATAACTGATCACTTATCTATTGGTAGTTTAAACAAAGGAATACTGGAGCCAATAGATAATGGCTAATCTGAATTACGTCTATTTTTCTAAAATTTTTAGGGAATATTAGTTATTATCATGATACAAAAACAAAATATTTTGACCGTTCATTAAGAGAGAAAAAAGTTTTTACTGATTTTTTTGCCCCAGTCTGTACTTAGATTGGAGGCTTTCAAAAGCTAACAAGATTGTAATTTGTGTGGAAAATCATATTTATTTGTTATATTTTAAAACTTAAGTACATGATTATTAATTTTAGTTACAATACAAAACTTCTTTAAGTCTTTGATTGTTTAATTATTATTAATTATTAACTAATTTCACTGTTCTGTAGTAATTTAAAGAAGCAGAAAATGAAATATTTTCATACGCCACCGTTCCGCCACGATGTCTTTGCTAAATTTAAAATTCAGATCACCAATTCTAATTAAAAAATCAAAATATTTAAGACGTATAAGAAAATACATGTATACTTTAAATATTTCATTTAGTCAGAAACTATACAAGAATTCCTACTTAAACGTTTTCACAGAAATTTCTATTTTTTGTAACCATAGCAACACCGTTAATCGAAATTAAAAAAATGACATATAAAATTATGTATCTTAAGTGTAGTCTATTTATGTGCCAAGAAATACTGAAGTCAGACTAAAACTGTAGGAGGAATGGCGTTTTGAAAAATTATTTACAACCAGACAGCTGACGGACTGCGGACACCTTGCTATCGCATAAGCTCTTCTAGTTTCTGACCTCTAGAGCTAAAAGCTTAAAAGATACCTTCAATCTGTCATTGGTAAAATATAAAAAAATTTATCATGATGTATAAGGGCGGAAACCAAGAAATAAATCTAGGGGAAGGGGTGACTGATCATTACCCACTCAAAAAAATTCCACTCAGAAATTTTTTGACAAGCTAATTGATAGAAACAAAACTGAACAAACACAAAACGCCTATTGCATTGTGTGAGAGGGAGAGTTTACTTTTTATAGGAATACTATTTCCTTCATATATTACCCACTTACAGGGGGAAGGGGTCAATGTTGCAATCCATTTTAAAAACTGAAAACAGTCAATTCTGCAAACTGTTATAATAATATATAGCGCATATAGTAAATTCCCGTGTCTTTTATCACCAAACAAATGTTTAACTGAATTCCACATCAGGTAGAACATTACTACCATGGATTCTTTTGTTACTGTTTTTTTTATGTATATAAGAATCCATTTGAAAATCCTAAAATATCTTCTTCGTTTTGATAGCATACCTTTTCACAGGTTTCTGCAGAATTTAGCAGACAAAATTTGTTGTCATTAAATTGACTGATTGATTGAATGTTGTTTACATCCTTCATGACAACAATCATGATGGGAAGGTACCGTGACCGGTCTCTTTTTTTAATGAATTGAAAGTAGCTGCTTTTCATACAACAGTCGTGATGGGAAGATTATAGAAATTTGCTGAAGTGTCTGGAGTGCAATTCTCATTTTAATGATGAAATATTCATGTTACTGTTTTTCCATATCGATTTATATTTCGTATTTTACAATATTTTCATAAACAAGAGGCCCATGGGCCACAACGGTCACCTGAGTCATTTTAGCCCCGCTGTTCTGCATAAGATTGTTTTTCCCAGTATGTTTTCTTATGTAAAATTTTTATCGTCTTTAGTGGTCCCACCCTATTTATAGGGCCGTGATTTGAAGAAAAATGAACCTATACTACCAGAAAGATGCTTCCACATCAAAATGATTTATCATGGCTTTGTTATAGTAGAGGAGTTTCAACGAAATGCATGGCGATAAGAAACAGTATTCAAGCTCAAAAGTCCATTAAACAATACAAATTTAGGAGCAAACACAGATTTCTAAAATATCAGAGATGGGATCAGGTGCCAAGGAGGAGTGAGCAATCCCTGCCGACCGGTCACACCCGCCGTGTGCTCCTTATCATGATCGGGAAATAACGGGAAAAATCCGTCGACAATTCAGTGTGTAAATACATGTAATGGCCTAACACTTAGTATGAAAAACGTCAGCATTTGACTTAATGATAAATTGTATTTGCTGACAAGGTCATTGTTTCGACCCTAGAACTTACGAAATGACGACTTTAAACGAGACTGCATATTTTTCCCATATGTAATCCCTATTGTGACCCCACCCTACCCGCGGGGACTAGAATCTGAATAATTTACAATCTACACTACCTCAGGAAGCGTCCACATAAGTTTCAGCTTTTCTGGTCCAGCAGTCCTTGAGAAGATTTTTCCTAAAGATATATTTCAATGTAAAACTTTGATTCCCTATTGTGGCCCCACCCTACCCCCCAGGGATAGTTATAGAAGTACATAGATTGTATAATTATGCAAGCTGCAAGGCCCAGTCTGATGTTACTTATTTCATGATAAAATTATGGAATTTTCATTTTTATAACATATATATTCGTTGACACAAACTATTTTTTCTTTATCGTACTAATAAGCGTTTGCGATGATATTTACATAATGACCAGAACTGAGTTAAGTTTTTCAAAATTAAAAAAACAATTAATGATATTTTACAAGCGTCATCAGTATTAAATAAACGCACTGTATTAACTAAATATATTCTAATAATTTCTAGTTATTTGAATAACTAGTTTGTCTCTGACATAGTTTCAATCATATTAAAATTAATTTTATGTTTCCACGCTGTTCCATTTTGTTGACTGACTTCGCTTTTTCTTTCAATGTTTGAAACATATTTCTTGTGGGTTTTTCTTAATTTTTCACTATCTGACTAATAAGCAATACTAAAGATATCAGAAAATGATGACAACCGCTTTATTTGAGACACTTACATTTTATTAAGTTTTGGCTTATTTTATGAAGAAAATCATTTTAATCAGAAAACTTTATTTTAAAGCTTATGACATTTTAATCCTGGGCCGTGCACACTAACTGCCACCTTTACGACCGCGATCTTTACAAAACAACCAAAATTAACTATTCTGTCTTATTCTCATAACAAATACTTTGGTATACAATAAGTATAACTAGGTCATTTCACTTTCACAAAAACATCACTGTCCACGAACTTTATGGAAAACCATTGTAATTTCATTTGAACATCTGAGTGAGGATATTGAGGTTTTCTACAAATTATCTACAAATTAGAAACAATTAATGAGATTTAAATTACTTGTATCTGAAACAAAAATAAATTGTACACTTTGCAATAATCAATAAAATTTTAATAAGCTATCACAAAAATAAATTGCACACTTTGTCTTATAACATCTTTGTCTATCTCCTGTCCATTTTCTTCACTACACAAGTTTGACAAGAAATGAATCACTGACAGTTATGTATCTCAGCCATTTCTGAGGAGTTGTCTGCTCTTGATTCACGATTTTCACTGTTTTTATCTTCATCCCTGAGAGTAAGTGGCCAGAAATTTCAAACTCCATTCTAAGAGGTCCAACATCTTCCCTGTTCAGTGCACTGCTTTGACTTATTAACTAAAATCAACAGAGTAGTAGAAAAACAATTGTTACATTATGCATGAATAAGGCATTGTCGGGATCTTTAATAGCCACAAGCAGTAAAAACTTAAGGTTAGAAACTTAAAGATTGAAAGAAACCTTTGCAATTCATAATATACAATCAGAATACAATCTACTTTAATACTTGAGGGTATTCAAATTCCATGTGTACTTTCTAACAGAAAGAATCGTTTTGATTTGCAAAATTGCCTCAAACTGTTGTTTCAGAGATCAACAATAAATTAGAGAAAAATATATACTGTGGTTTCATCAATTTTCGTTGGCATCAATTTTCGTGTATTTTGTAAAACAGACGTCTTCGAGGATACGTAATTTCGTGGACAAAAGCATTGCCTATACAAATGAATAACATATTTCGTAAATCAATGAACATTTAATTTCGTGGATCTGCCCAACAACGAAATCCTCGAAAATTGGTGCTCAACGAATATTGATGAAACCACAGTAATAAATAGAGAAAAAAATGCACATGTACTTCAGTCCAAGTTAATATCAGATACATGGATTTGACCTACCCTAAACTGAGCGACAGATTCAGTGTTTGGAGTCAGTGATTTTATTTTCCATAGAATTGTACTGTCTGTCTTTTCCAGTGTGGCTGTTTGCTCACTTCTGTCTAGATGCTGGGAAATGCTAAAGAAGAAAATTCATTCGATGTATATAATATATAATAGCACAGTAGATGCTTCACTCTAAAATCTTTGTTTTCAAAAAAAACAAAGAAATTAAATACTTCAAAAATGGAAAAAAAATCCATCGAAAAAAGGACATAAAACTTACCCGCACCACTATTTATACAATATAAAAAAATCACCAGATTTCTACATACACCTGTCTTTGTTGCATAAGAATAATTAATTCATACATGCATTTGTATTCGAAAAATTATGTCTGCTTTAATTTCACATTCTGGGACAATATAAAAATACACCTTTACTCTGGGGAAAACTTACTTGGAGACAGACTGAGGGACCCCAAACTTCAGTCTAAGATTGATAGAGGTGACAGGTAACATGTTCTTTATCCTCAGACTCACCATAACATCCCTAAAATAGAATAAAAAATACACAGCTATAGAGTGTCACAATGCTGCATATTCTATCAAATAAAGGTGATTTATGACCTAAAACTTCGCATGATTTTGTGAGAATCTAAATGAAAATAAAGTTCATGTGAATAATAGCAAAGCAAAATTTTAAATACTTTTTTTGCATGGAGGATACATGAAAATTATCAATATTGAATAAATTCAATGCTCATCTTGTTATGGAGTAAAATATGTGAAATAATTCACAGCATACAGAATATTTGTATATGGATGACTATTACTCAGTATATTACTAAACTCTACATATCCTTTGAAAGCATTTAATTGAAAAAGAACTTTTTTCAACTTTAAAATTGACAAAACACTAGTAAAACTCTCAGATGACCTGCTGTGTTCTAATGGCTGGACAGAGGAGACAAAATGAAAAGGGGAGGTAATGCAGCTTTCTCCACTGACAGAGTAGGACATCAACGTAAACTGTAAATAGAAGGTAAACAACAAATCAAATAAAAATGTAGTCTTAATCACGATCAGGTAGCTACTACTTATACTGATCTAAACATACAGTCAAATCTTAATATCTCAAATATGACAAAACCATCAAAAACTGGGAGAAGAAAGATATATGTATTGCATTGAGATTCACATGAACAGATGAATAAGATAAGATCCACAGACTTGCTTTAACATATATCTGACTATTTGAAATATTAGTGCCACAGCTAATAAACTAATGCAAGTTAAACAAAAATTTACAAAAATTTCCTATCTGAGGACAAATGCTCAGTACACTGGGTGTGTCTAAATTGTCACCTCAGCTGTCTGATACAATAACTCATCTCTCCTGCCTTAGGACAAATGCTCAGTACACTGGGTGTGTCTAAATTGTCACCTCAGCTGTCTGATACAATAACTCATCTCTCCTGCCTTAGGACAAATGCTCAGTACACTGGGTGTGTCTAAATTGTCACCTCAGCTGTCTGGTACAATAACTTACCTCTCCTATCTGAGGACAAATTGTCAGTACACTTGGTGTGTCCACATTGTCCACTTTGGCAGATTCATGGAACACACATGTATCCAGCTGGACACTGTCTCCATAGGCTGTGTTAATTAATGTAAATAAAAAGTTTACAAAATCACATATTAGAGAAATAGATGTGAGTGTCTAGATGTAATGAAGCTGTATTAACAATCAGACATGAAAAGTTGTATCCTTCATTTGTTCCAGATTTCATACCTTTAATTCTGGAATTCCTTTGAACTATGATGTTGTTGTTTAAAATGACCTTGACCTGAGGACTGCCATAAAGGAAGTTTTTGACCTTCATAGCACCATTGATTTCAAAGCGAGAAACACTCCCCTGCAAAGAAAAGATAATTATGGTTTTACATGTATCATTGTCATATGTAAAAATCCTCAGGTAGTATAGGTAAATCATCAAAGAATGTTAAATACAGAATGTTAAAATCATTAGCAATCTATAACTTATATTTTAATAAAATATGTGTATTAAATATTAATTGATGCATTCTGTTGATTTCTTATTTTACACGAAAATTTTTAAAATATCGAAAAATGAATCATAGACGTCAAGTTAGAAGAACTTGAATTTGCAAATGGACTGTTGTTCCAGAGTTTTACATATATTTCAGCAACAGAAAAATAAAAGTGTAAATTTTTATTTATGAGTGCAGCTTGTCACAAAAATTTGTGGCTTTCATATGATATTTATTATTGATATTTAAATTTACAAAATAAATTTTAAAATGAATTTTTAAAAAAGTCAATTCTAATAGGTCCACTATATGTGAAAAATCAGTGTTCTCTCAACTTGTGTTGGAGTATCATGTACTATGTTTAAAATAGAGCTGTTAATACAAAATACCAACAATAAGAAATAAACTTACATCAGCATTTACAACACTTGTAATTTTTTCTATGACGTCCACATAGAGTTCATTTTTTGTCTTATCCTGAAATTATAATAATTTAATTATAACTTGTAATTTCTGTAAAAGAAATAACAAAATGATAGGAGTGAAGGATCCCTTCTACGAGGAAGTAAAAAACTTGTCCAGATATAAACACAGATATGTGAGTCACCTGATCTAGATAGTAGATACGCAGAGGCAACTATAGAGTATGTCTAGCAACAGGATCGATAGGACACCTGCCATTACTATCTAAAGTCAGGTAATATTTACATGAATCTGTAACATTGCATTATGATAAGTTCTAATATTTTCCTTGAAAAATTTATTTTAAAATTGATTTGTTAAAATATTTTAGCAACTGTGTCATTGGTATTTTAAAAATGGCTGAACTCTGTAACAAAATATGAAGTATTTTCTGAATATAGAACTCATACTGGTATTGATCAGAAAAATAACGTACCTATCCTGTGAGACATAAACATTTCTTTAAATTTCAAACATAAATTGACCTTTATTTGCATGATCCAGATATGGAGATCATTTGATCCTCTTAATGTCAATCACCTCCTCAATCAATCAGTTCCTGCTGTATAAAGTGTAATTTTTTTCCTATTCAATGGAACTGTTGTCTTCAGGAAAATAGTATGATTAAAAGAAATTCTTTGTTCATTCTTACCCCCCAAAAATTGCCATTCTGCCTTCCAGAAGAAATAATTTGGAAACCAATTTTGATCATGCAACACAATTTATCAAATATTATTTACCAAATAATTTCAAAATAAACATTCAGCAATCTGAATAAACTGTTACTTTATTGAGTTAAAACAAAGTTCAGTATGTCACATAATTCAAGAGGTTAGAACAAAGAACTTGATTATAAATGCTACACTAACTCTACATTTCAGAGTTGAAAATTTAATCATGGACCCCCATGCCAGTGCCCAGGATGTGATGCGATGTGACCTGTGTGAGACTGCTGTGGTACAGATGCACTGTGATACCTGTCTTGTCAACCTGTGTAAGGCCTGTGTGGGAGAACACATCTCTGCTGATCTCTCAAAACCTCATAAAATTGTTGATTTCAAGGACAGAAAATCTACGCCCCTCTACTCTGGATGTACATTTCATGATACAGGGCGATGTAAAATGTACTGCAAGCATTGTAACATTCCTGTTTGCACCAAGTGTATCACATCTGATCAACATTTAGGTCATAAATTATCAGATATATTGCAAGTTTCGGATGAAAGAAAAGACAAGCTAACCAAAGATCAAACTGAATTAAATGATACAATTTATCCAACCTACCAGGACATTGCCTCCGATGTACAAAACAGAACGAGTCAATTAGAAAAGAAATATGGGGATCTCTCAACAGCCATAACAAAACATGGAGAGGACTGGCACAGAGAAATTGACAAATTTGTCAAGAAACTTAAAACTGAAGTTGATGAGATGAAAAACACACAGTTACAAACTCTACAAAAACATCTGGATGAAATAAACACAAAAATTGTTGAAATCAAAGAAGAAATCAATTTAATTGACATAGCTGTCACTTCGCATGATATTTCCAGACTATTTAGCACTACATCAATTGTAGATAAGTATAGACAGCTACCACATAAAATTGTGCTCTCTTCACCTACATTCACTCAAGGAAGAATCCAAGGAGAGCAACTTAGTAAGCTGTTTGGAGCTTTATCATTAACTTCTCCATCTCTAGAAAAGAATGGCTACAGCATGAAGGCAACACATCAGAAATCAAAAGAAGATGGATCCTCTCCTCCAGTCAAACAACTGCTTGATGAACCAGAAACTGTCACCACCATAGACACTGGGTATGGCAGACTCTATAGTGTGGCCTGTCTGAGTGATGAAGAAATTTGGACAAGTGGAAATAACAGCATCATGAAATTCTTCAGCATCAATCAGGGATCACTACTCAAGTCAATCAAAACCAAGTCAGGCAAGAGACCATATGACTTAGCAGAGACAAAAAGTGGAGATCTAGTTTATACTGAGTACAGTGATAGAACTGTGAATATTGTGAAGAATGAGAAGATAGAGGAGGTGATCAGACCACAGAACTGGAGACCTAAAGGTGTCTGTAGTACCTCCTCTGGTGACCTCCTGATTATCATGGGCAGTATTGAAGACAAACAATCAAAAGTTATCTGTTATTCTGGCTTTTTGGAGAAACAAAGCATTCAGTTTGATGATAAAGGTAAACCTCTCTATTCATCTGGTCCTTTTTACAGATATATCACTGAAAACAAGAACCTGGATATCTGTGTGTCTGACAGTGGAGCTACAGCAGTAATTGTGGTAACTCAGGCTGGGAAACTGAGATTCAAGTACTCTGGATATACTCCTGCTCCGAAGAACAAACCATTCAATCCACGAGGAATCACCACAGACAGTCAGAGTCACATCCTTATAGCTGATATAAACAATCACTGTGTCCACATCATAGACCAGGATGGACAGTTCCTCCATTACATAAACTGTGGACTGAGTTATCCCTTGGGACTGTGTACAGATACAAATGACAATCTGTTTGTTGCTCAAGAGAGAAATAATCAAGTGAAGAAAATCAAATATCTGCAGTGAAGTCCATCAGTGTACTACAGGCAATAGAATAGCATTGATTTTTAAAAATCTGAATGGACATTTATGCAGATTTTAAATGTGTCATAACTTTGTGTTCTAAATGTCTTTTAATTTAACAAAAAAAAAATATTTCATGAAAATGTTCAAGCGGTCACCCTTGAATCAGTTTATCCCCTTTAACTTCCTAGGTCCTAAAGTTTTAAAATATCCTCAGTAAATAGGCGATAAACAAATAATTACCAGGTAGTTGCCCCCGAAACTTTATGGACTTCAAAGAAGTCATCAGGAATTAATTAACGACTGTTGCTAGGTCCAGATTAATACACTGTGCTACATCTTCAATGTAAATACTAGTACTTCATTACTGCTTTTAAAATACTCTCAGAGAGTCTGTCCTTTTGTTCCATAGTTTAAAATCATGCGTACCTTTTGGACAGAGGGACCAATGACAGGTCTGTTGATGGCTGGAGTAGGGGTAGTCTTTGTTTCTATGCCAAACTGAAAAATATAATTCGATCAACTCTTAAATCTAACTCTTAAAAAATTTATCCTTATAGTTTTATCTATTTAGTACAGCATCTATTGCAAAAGTTAAATAACACACTAGTCAGCATTGTTATTTCACAATAAGAAACATCCACAAAATAGATTATGATATACATGCATGTATAGAGATCAAGCGATCATAGCAAACTAGACAACACAATCCAGCTTTGTATGAATCTAGTAAAGGGAAATTGGTGACCATTTTAATTTCTAACTTTATATGAATCTGATAATGTGACATGGGTGAGCATTTTAACTGCACTCACCACTCGTGATGTAATATCCTGTGTTGGCTGCCTGTTTATTCTGGTCAGTACCGGTGTAGACTGGATATGAGGCTGTAGTTTATCTGTAGTAGACAGCTGGACATATCCAAAGTCCTGTGTCAAAGAACTGTATATTAAACCTACAGTCTTTATATAAACAAGCTCACAGGTCATTTATGTAATCAGAAGCCTTCCACTTTGACACACAATTCAAGTATACATGTGTTGGGTCACAACATAAATCATTAAATGTAGCCTAGTGTCCAGTTCATCGAAATCAAAAACCGATATGTAGAATTATGTATCTTGGTGTAGTCTATTAGTGTGCCTGCCAAGTTATATTGAAAGCAGACCAAAAATGTAGGAGTAGCATTTTGAAAGTATTTATAACTGAAATTTCTATTTTTAGTAGCCAAGGCAACTACATTCATTGAAGGCATTTCTGCATAAAAATTATCACACAAGCCAAATGCTGGAACTTCATCATAAAATTAAAAAAAAGACAGTTATTCCTTTTATACAATGTACATGATTCTGTAAATGCTCGATTCTAGCCCCACCCACTTCCCTTTCTTTCAATCCCGCTCCATAGGTAAATTTGACCACATCTATAAATGAACCAATAGATTTATGGATGATCAAAGAATTCAAGGTGTTATCATTTGTAATTTTATCTCAGACAAAGAAATGTAAATATATGTACAGGTCAATAATAAAATATTTTAGGTATATTAATGCAAAATTACAGTTGCAACTACTGCAGAAAAAAAATTATACAGCCCCCTTATGAAGGTTATAAATTTATTCTGCAATTATTGCAACCTTTAATAATACAACCCCCCCCCCCCCCCAAAAAAAAAAAAACATGCTAATATTTAAAACATGCTTACGAAAATAAGAGAAAACATGACCTTCTATGCAGACTCTATTGTAAAATAACAAGACTTACCAAGAGACCTCTAGAATTAGAAGGAGATTTTACTCACCAGAAATTCATTGAGAACCTCTAGAATTAGGAGGAGATTTTATTCACCAGAAATTCATTTAGAATTCATCTAGAATTAGGAGGAGAATTTACTCGCTAGAAATTCATTAAAGAACCTCTAGAATTAAGAGGAGATTTTACTCACCAGAAATTCATTGAGCACCTCTAGAATTAGGAGGAGAATTTACTCACCAGAAATTCATTGACAACCTCTAGAATTAGGAGGAACTTTACTCACCAGAAATTCATTGAGAACCTCTAGAATTAGGAGACTTTACTCATCAGAAATTCATTGAGAACCTCTAGAATTAGGAGGAGAATTTACTCACCAGAAATTCATTGAGAACCTCTAGAATTAGGAGGAGATTTTACTCACCAGAAATTCATTTAGAACCTCTAGAATTAGGAGGAGAATTTACTCACCAGAAATTCCATGAGGACCTCTAGAATTAGGAGGTAATTTTACCCTCCAGAAATTCATTGAGAACATCTAGAATTAAGAGGAGAATTTACTCACCAGAAATTCATTGAGAACCTCTAGAATTAGGAGGAGATTTTACTCACCAGAAATTCATTGAGAACCTCTAGAATTAGGAGGAGAATTTACTCACCAGAAATTCATTGAGAACCTCTAGAATTAGGAGGAGATTTTACTCATCAGAAATTCATTGAGAACCTCTAGAATTAGGAGGAGAATTTACTCACCAGAAATTCACCGAGAACATCTAGAAATAGGAGATTTTACTCACCAGAAATTCAATGAGAACCTCTAGAATCAGGAGGAGATTTTACTCACCAGAAATTCATTGAGAACCTCTAGAATTAGGAGGAGATTTTACTCACCAGAAATTCACCGAGAACATCTAGAAATAGGAGATTTTACTCACCAGAAATTCATTTGAGAACCGCTAGAATTAGATTTTACTCACCAGAAATTCATTGAGAACCTCTAGAATTAGGAGGAGATTTTACTCACCAGGAATTCATTGAGGACCTCTAGAATTAGGAGCAGATTTTCTTGCAACGATTCCTCTGATACCACACCACAAAAATCCTTAAAGACGCGATATAATCTGTAGAGTATAGGGACATGGATTAATGAAAAACTTACAGATACAAATGCTTTATCTTGTAGTTATTGGTCATGTTTACATTCGCAAATGTTTTCCTTTATATAATATATATATATAAGGTATATTTAAGTCTGTATATAAACAGGTTTGTCACATGATCATAAATTCATTATCAAGTCATAAATGATGTAATTTCAGTGATGTACGTTATATGTGGTGGATGTTTTGAACAAATTCAATAAATACCATTTAGGTTTGAAAAAACTAAATCATTTCATGGGTTCAAAACTAGTATACTACACAAACATTTGTTATATAAATGTTTAAATAGTCACATAAATATAAGTAATAAGGTTTCATTTTTAAACATTTATTGGGATGAAAATATGGGCTGGTACATGATCAAATCTACCAAAAAGCCCTTCAGGTATTATGGGATTTGATCACATGACCAACCTGTATTTACATCCTGATAAAAGTTTAAACATGATACCTTATTTCTTATCAATAGTCTAAAATGTAAAGCAGAACACTGAAGATAGAAATATTTACAAGATACCAAATAAATAATGGCTTAAAATGCATCAACCAAATTATTCAAATAACTAAATTCAATTGGCAATGAGGTTTATCAACATACATCTTGCCCCCATGATTAGATGTATATATAAAGCTACAATGAAGCGCACTGAAGGGGTAAAATTTTGCGTTTGAATGGAATGTTTTGGTCTTTCTTTGAACGTTGATTGTCATATAATGACACACCCATTTCTTCAGAAAGGAAAAAAAACTCGGTCAAAAGGTTCATACAAATGCCTGTAGAACAGGTATTCTATAAATACAATAGCCAATCAGATTGGCAGTCTACATAAACACCGAATAAACATGTGTTCGACCGGTACATATGATAAACTTCAATAAACAGGATAAATTCATAATTATGTACATATTCGTTGCAATACATGGATGCAATACTGAAGCGGGGTGTCTCAAACTCTCTCTCTTCTAACATTCTTAAAATATCCATTTCAGCAAAACTAATATTGCTAGTCGCAGAGAGTGAGGTGTCTTAAAAGTATTGCAATGAATATTTCTTTCTCGTTTCTTAAGAAATGGGCATGTCTCTATGCAGCAATTGACATTCGATAAGAAAGACCAAAATGTTCTATTCAAACAAAAAATTTTACCACTTCAATGCGCTTCATTGTATCTTCATTATCCTTCAACCGTTCATGGTAGCTCAGTAAATGAGCGCTCGCTCCATGATCGGGAGGTCGCGAGTTCAAATCTCAGCCACGACTGACCTAAGTCGAAAAAAAATTGGTAGCAACTGTTCCTTTGCCATGCACTCGGCACTTTGAAGTGAAAGTTGCGGGTTTTTTGGATGAGACCTTAAAAACCGAGGCCCCGTGTCATGGCAGATGTTGGCACAATAAAGATCCCTCATTGCTCAATGGCCCTGAGTGCCGAGTAAAGGTCAAAATTTGAAGCCCTTCACCTATATGGTGACGTCTCTATATGCCATTGAGTGAAAAATTCTCGAATGGGAAGTAAAACAACATATAGTCAATCATTATCCTTCATTAATATTGCTTCCCCTTTTAAAACCTTACCTAGTTAGAACCTCTACAATAAGAATTGGTGACGTTTCCTTGCTTGTTGTGGCAACGAAAAACAGTCTGTCACGTCTGATGAAATGAAAACATTTATTCCCTTCAGTCTGTAATTGATTATTAATATAAAAATATCCATTATGTAAGAAGCCAAATACATTGCTTAATTATTAAGCTGATTAAATTTCAAAATTTTAATTGATGGTCTATAAATCCTCTCTTGTTTAGTACTTACAAAATATGGCAGTGTTTGATGTTCCCCTGCCTTCAGTTTCCGAAGAAAAATATCTTTAGAAAATGTATTACTGGCCAGTGTATCTAATAGTGTGTTAAGATGGATCAATATAAAAAGGATGTTAATACAACAGAAATATGATAATATTGAGCATGCACTAAATTGTCTTACCTAAACTAAATCCCACATAAAATGGAACACCAGGAATTTATTTTTTGAGTTATCTTTTTTTTTTTTTTTTTTTTTGTGAGTCCATGAAAATGCATGGGTTTTGTGGTGTTGATGATTGTCTCCTTCAAGGAAATGACATATTAATTTGGATATAAGTCTGTCTATTACAAAGACATGTCTGGCCATAGGTCTCCAACCCTGTTTGAAATTTGTCAAAATGTTGTCCACATTCATGTCCTAAAGGTACTATATGTTATGATCTAGATTTAAAGTTACATCTCCAAAGTGAGGGTCGCTGCATAGGCAGTGAGATAAAGAACTAGTGTCCAGTTGAATATGTTGTTGTTGAGGACTTGAGGTCATGGTTTCTTTTCAAGAGCATACATTACCCTATTAAGGTTACTGGACATAAGAGAGTGATACAAGGTGTAGGAACCCTTGATTATTGATGAATTCCATCTTGAGTATGCTGTCACCGGGGGGGAGGGGGGGGGGATGATGTATATATTTAAACATTGACAAACAAAATTACACAAATGGAAAAGATATAGAAGAGAATTAATTCTCACCTTAAAATGTTGTTTAATGAAATTCATCAAAATTTGAACTTGGGGTCACAGGCACTTATTTCTGTAATAAATCTTTTAACCCATAGTATAACAATAACACAAGATATCTAACTCTGGAGTGCCCCTCCCAAGAATCACAGTGATTTACATTGTGAAATTCATAGAAAATGCACTGGCAAACTGCATGTTTATTACCATTGTCTTCTACAATAATTTATCTACACAACCATAGCATGCTTGTCTTTATTTTCTCAGATCTCCACAAACAGCATCAAAACTCTGCCATAAAGTGGTATCCATGTACTAATCTGTAGAATATTACAATGGTAATAAACAGTTTGCCAGTGCATTTTCTCTGAAAGTGTAAATGACTGTAATACTTGGGGGGGGGGGGGGGAGTTACTCCATGTGTTTCGGAGTTAGATACCTTGAGTTATTATTATACTATGAGTTAAAAAAATTTATTACAGAAACAAGTGTCTGTGGTTGGGATTTAAAAAGAAATAAATAACCACAAGTACAGCAGCATTAATTGGTTGTATTTGATGCAATGAATCATAACAATTATGCATGTATACAGATGTAAGTAAATATTCGCTAAATCTTTACGCCAGATGATTAAAAGTCTGTATATTTGACAATGTTTACAGATACATGCACATGGGTTCCTCACGATTAATTTGTCTTCTTTCTATTTGACTTGCCCATATACTATAAAATTTTATGGGTGGTCAAATAGAAAGAGGACAAATTAATCGTGACAAGCCCCTGCACAGACATCTGTGATGCACTGCTGTATGATACATGTAAGGTTGTACCTGACATGCAGAAAAATTCGACATATTCTATTACTAATCGATCAATTCTATTAGTATATGAAACAAAAAAATGCTTCTTAGGCACATGCTATAAAACATAGAGTTTAAAAGGATACAACTTTTATAAGCTATTACAACAGAACGTTCTGAAACGATAAATATCTCATCTACTTTCATTTTTCGTCTGGGTGATTAAAGCGAAAGTAAAACTAAACATCCGGGCTTTACATAAATCTCGTTTATGAACGAGAATTCGACGCGACGTGAGGGAATTGATCAACAGATTGAAATAGAAAGAATTTTTAATTATTTTTTTAGGATCAGACCACAATTCCTCTAGATCTTACTACTATGCAGAGGTAAAGAGTTCATATATTTATGTTTCAAGGTCGTGGATTTATATAATCCACGCTTAAAGTGCTGGTGAAATGATGAACCATGGCCATGCATGCTTACTTTAGGCTTTGACTTTTTAAACTAGACTTGATTTATTTTATTTATTCAACAACCTTAAAAAAAGTTCGGTTGTGCTTTTGACACACAGGGTATGAAAAACACAATTTGATGTAAATAAATTTGGAGTTTATTTCGATGGAATGATGACTTAAAAATCTTAATCACTTCATATCTCATTAATGATTTATTCAACAAAATAGACATCGAACTACCAATGATTAATCCAACTATTAGAATATATTGTCATATTCTTCGGAATGTTAATTTTAAGTATGTAGTATGGAATGGAGAAATTTTCAGTCACTGTTGTGTGTTGTCACTTAACTCAAACTGAAAGGGACAAAAATATATATTTTATGTTTTATGGTGTCAGTTTATTGCCTAAGTATCCTTGAGTATGATATTTGTTGCATTGTTGATGATCTACACTTCACTGCAGTGTATGGTCCCATCTAGTAGTTTCCTCCAGAGTTTTGGAGCTTCTTATCATTCTCATGACATGATACAGTGTGTCATAATCATCATTATCATTTCAATTTCTCAGCATAGGTCAGGAGATGTTCATGAATTCCTATTTTTCCTTTTTGTAAGTTTGGTAAGAGGTGAAAAAAATCTACCTATTACATACATGTAGTAAACTGTTAGTTTATTGTTAACCTTCTCTGTTTAATGTCATTTTTAGGCATTAAACTGTACAATTATTAAATATACCTGAACTATTTCAGTACTTGATATGATGGAAGTAGTGTTAGTAATGGGAAAGTTGGATATTTTGTGTAGTCATCTTTTGTGAATGCTTCTTTTAGATTATTTCATTAGTGTGAAAGAGAAAATGCCATGAACAGTCAGACCAGACCAGGATTTGAACTCTGGATTCATGAACTCTAGACATGTGCTTTAATTACCAAATGAGCTATCTGGTCATTGGCAAACAAACCCACCCTACCTCACAGCCATATAGTTTATCAAAGTTAATGTGAACTTTTCATTCATAGGGAATTCAAATATTTCAGAAACATTAAATCTTTTACACTGTGAATGTTTCACAATGTGCCACATATGTTCTGAAATCCAACACTGCACAAATATATCTGGCTGAAAAACAGTTCTTATTAGATGCTTCTGCAATGCTGTTTTTGTTTTGAATACAAATAATTATCAAACATCCAAGTAAATCCAAGATTTTACAAAAAATATATTAGATCTAATTTTTTTTTTTTTATAAGATTTCAGTTAATTGTTTGATATTTGTTATGCATGCACAATAGGCATATAACTGATCAATATCTCCTGGGCCAGTAATTTTGAACAAATTACGTACTAGCACAGGAATTATTTTCACTTTTTTGTAAAAGCTAGGGAATATTTTCTGATAATTATTTTTCTTATCATTCTCATGTAATTGCTTTATCTGTGCAATTCATGTATTAACATTGAAACAAAATCTGATAGAAACATAAGCATGATAAAGATGGTTATTTTTCTAAGAACTTGCCCATGAAAGGACAAAAAAAAATCATTTGAAATTTCTACATGCTCTTGAGATTGTTGACATATGACTTTTCGTGAAAACAGAACAATTTTGGTATGAATACCATTGAAAGTTGTAGTCAAATGAAAACATGGCTTTTCCTGTCTGAGAAGCAGAAAGAAAACACATTTATGTTTCACTACTTGCCTCAAAGAGATTTTACTATCATTTTAGGGGAACTTGGTCATTCAACAATAATGATTTAGAAAACTGTTTTGGCAAGATCAACAGGCCTTAAGAGACTGAAATCAATTTTGGATATTCAGAAGTCAGTTAACTATCAAAATGATCAAACAAGGTGCATACTATATGTGTTTTGCATTTTTGAGAGTAATTAAAGCATAAGAAAAGTTGTGTAAATTTTGCTGAGTTAAATTAGCATGATTAGTACATTAATTAATTTATGATCAATCTTAATCAGTGCATTTATAGCTTGTGTAAACATCATTTTGTTACTAGTCAGTGACACCCAAAATGGCCAAAAGTCAGATTCCACATATATACTCAATTCTGTAAATAATAAAGTATTCTTAAATATTTACAATATAAGGAAAAGCCAGAGTTTTAATTGCTGCAATCTGAATCCATGGTCTATTTATTAATAAAAGTCAATGTATTAGTTCTTAAGTTCTACAGCAGCAGTATGAATATTTAGTGTGTTATTTTTGTCTATAGTATTAAATAACATATTGGCTGCATTACTTAGAAGTAGATACTACCAATTTCAGAGCTTAGCATATTCTTTTGTGATATTTTTGTAAACTGTTTTCATAGTATGTCTTCTAACTAAAGAGCTATTGTTGGGTCATTCTTCTTGTTATGTATAAATATAGGCTTCTCAGTGGCAAGTTCCAGCTGTTCTCTCAGTAGAATGTTATTGTAGCCTCAACAAGCTTTAAGTTTCCTGATCCAAGTGACATTGAACGAAGTTGTAAACAGGAAAAAATGTGGGCTGTCTTTGTTTACTAGTGTTCATGTAATGTGATCATGATTATATCAGGAACACAGTGTAGTGTACTTACAACTACTATTACCAACAATTGAAGTACTAATGCACGTGGCCCTGGATGACCCCAAGGAGCTTCCATTCATGTCAAGAGAAAGCTTGATTCAATTCACTTTTGAATTTAAACGGTTTACTACAAAACGTACCCTTGATTTACAACTTCCCAAACACTAAACATTTCTAACAGGAAGTGTTATGTAGGTGAGACATGCATAATGATAGCAACTCATCCACTTTTATTTCACTGTTTTACACAGGATTTGTATGTAATGGAACTTGTTGATAGAATGACTCCAGTTTAAGGACACTTATTAACACAAAAATTTGATGCATGGATTGATATATATATTTTTTGACTGATTTTGAATGGAAATGACATACATAATAAATCCCTTAAATATTAAGAAATCATAAATTTCTTTGGTGCTTAAATATGCGACTTTGTGTCATTAGCTCACCTGAGCCGAAGGCTCAAGTGAGCTTTTCTGATCACATTTTGTCTGTAGTCCGTCTGTCCGTCTGTCTGTCCGTCCGTCTGTCTGTAAACTTTTCACATTTTCGACTTCTTCTCAAGAACCACAGGGCCAATTTCAACCAAACTTGCCACAAAGTATCCTTGGGTGAAGGGGATTCATATTTGTTCAAATGAAGGGCCACGCCCTCTTTCAAGGGGAGATGATAAAGAATTAGTGAAAAATTAATAGCATCTTTAAAAAATCTTCTTCTCAAGAACCACAAAGCCAGGGAAGATGAAATTCAGGTGGAAGCATCCTTAGGTAGTGTAGATTCAAATTTGTTCAAATCATGACCCCCAGGGGTAGGGCGGCGCCACAATGGAGGATCAAGGTTTTACATAGAAATATATTGGAAAAACATTTAAAAATCTTCTTCTCAAGAACAGCAAAGCCATGATGAGTCATATTTATATGGAAGCATCCTCAGGTAGTGTAGATTCAAGTTTGTACAAATGATGACCACCGGGGGTAGGGCGGGACCACAGTGGAGGATCAAAGTTTTACATAGAAATATATTGGAAAAACCTTTAAAAATCTTCTTCTCAAGAACAGCAAAGCCATGATGAGTCATATTTATATGGAAGCATCCTCAGGTAGTGTAGATTCAAGTTTGTACAAATGATGACCACCGGGGGTAGGGCGGGACCACAATGGAGGATCAAAGTTTTACATAGAAATATATAGGAAAAATCTTTAAAAATCTTCTCAGGAACAGCAAAGCCCTGATTGATCATATTTATGTTGAAGTATCCTCAGGTAGTGTAGATTCAAGTTTGTTCAAATGTTGACCCCCTGGGGTAGGTTGGGGCCACAATGGAGGATCAAAGTCTGAAATAGAAATATATAGGAAGATTTCTTCTGATGAAGAACTGCAAAGCCATGATTAGTCATTTTGATATGGAAGCATCTTCAGGTAGTGTAGATTCAAGTTTGTTCAAATGATGACCCCCGAGGGTAGGGCGGGGCCACAATGGAGGATCGAAAGTTTTACATAAGAACATATAGAAAAAATATTTCTTCTCAAGAACAGAAAAGCGGTATGTTTAGTAATATTGATATGGTGTAGATTCAAGTTTGTTCAAATGATGACCCCTGGGATAGGGAGGAGCCACAATGGGGGATCAAATTTTTACAAAGGAATATATGGGAAAATTTTTTAAAAATCTTCTCAAGTACAACAAAGCCATTTGTTGTTTTGACATGGAAGCATCGTCAGGTAGTTTAAAATTCAAGTCCCCCCCCCCTCCCCCCGGTAATCTTTTCAATACTGAACTGATTTGTGCTTTTGCCTAGCCAATGTGCTCAGGTGAGCGATGTGGCCCATGGGCCTCTTGTTTTTTATTTAATTCTTTGCAAAAGTTTGCACCCATTTTTAACATTGTGATGAAATCTTTCAAAATTCTCCAACTTTACCTGGCAAACATTATTCAGGCTACCTATCTTAATATAAATCTATGAGATATATTGCTGATTTCTGAAAAAAAAGTTTGTTTGTGTTATTTATCCTTAAATTTCTCAGGCTATCTTGGTTTTCTAAGAGAGTTGACTGAGAATTTTATGTCTCAATCTTTTGTAACGAAATTGACCTGGTACGGGGTTCCTTATTTATTTCTCATCTCATATTTCACTACATTTTCTATTTCCTCTTGTGAAACAAGGTTAAGAAAGAGTATGGGAAATGAATGTCATTTTTGGCTATATTTACTTTATACTTACATTATATATATCTATTGTAAACCATTCAGTCTTGCTTCAACATTAACAGTCTTTGGAAAAAAAAAGTTGTTGGTAAATGATGATCAGAACTTTAGACATACCAGTGAGGAAAACAAATTATTAAAAGGGTGGTGTTGTTGATTTTGGTTGGTGACTTATGTCAGATACTGGTACACATGTAAATGGCATTACCTGCAGTGAATAGCTATTAAGTGGGATTTATTCCATTTCAGACTTGATTATTTTCATGTTTTCTTTTACAGTATCTGTTCTCACTTCACTTTTCATTCATGGTTTCTTTTTACAAGTCACCACAGTGTTAATTTTGGGTTTTTTGTTTTTGTAAAAAATATAAAAATTGTTCAAATGAGCCTACAAAATATTTCGAAATCTATGAGAAGAAGACAATCATTTTCAAAATTTTGTATAAGTTGAAAATGAGTGTACATTTAGTTTGTACATTCACACCAACCTATACATGCTACAGTAAAACACACTTATAATGAAGTGACAGGGATGGACAATTTTGCTTTGTTATAAGCATAATTCGTTATATCCATTAAGTTTACAATATATTTTAAAACCTCATGGAATTAAAATTACTTTGCTGTATAAGCAATTTGCATCAATTCATTAAAAGCATGTTCGCTATAAGTGTTTTTTACTGTATATATACATATACTTTTACATATAAGTAGTGATAATTGTAACATAAATATAGTTTTATTTCTTTTGTAGAAATCGTTGACAGGTTGAAGTGGCCGGTGAGATGAGTAACTCTGACACCATTCCTGTGGTCAAGGAGGGGTATCTATGGAAAAGGGGTAAGGTTTAAAATAATTGCTGTGTGGGGAAAAAAAAGGTTTTCCACATGTGTAATATCATATGGCTTCAAATCAACAAGTCATTATTGTGGTGTCCCTGTTGAAAATAGGTAGAAATTCAACAGGTATCTCTTTTATATGTGGAAAGGGGATAAGGCATCAATAAGAGTGGTATCTCTCAATGTGGAAAGGGGTAAGGCATCGACAGTTGTGGTACATGAATTTCTTTATTTTGGAATGGGGGTAAAGTGTCAACAAGTGCGTATCTCTAAATGTGAAAAATTGGCAAGATTTCTTTCTTTATTGTATCTCTCCCCCATCAACATGATCATGATCAATATAGACAGGGGTAGGTCACTACTAGGTCTTCGAAATCAATAATTTTGGTATCTTTTAGTTTCCAGAATGGGTTGGGATATCTGAACAAGTGTAGCTTGTGTAGAAAAAGGGTAAGACTCTTAGACGGGTTTGAATTAAATCACTCTGCTAACCATGATGTTCACAAGGCCAGCATTGGTTTCTGTGGTGGTACGCAGATCATCTTCTTCTGTATGGGAGACAAGTCAGATTGGTAAAGATTGGACACAAGTTATTCCCCTTAGGTTCTAATAAAAAACTTGACTGAAGAAAGATACTCCAAACTTGAAGTGACTGGAGCTAGATTTTTGACATCTTTAATGTGAAATAGAAATTTCTGATGTAGTTTCCTGATTTACCCCAATTCATAGATCTTTAAAAATGTGTTTAATTTATGTTTTGCTTTATTTGAGGTGGGGAGTATAAACCCTGCACATGATATTGAGGCTGTGCCCCCCATCCCCCACCAAAAAAAATCTACTGTGCTAGATGCATGTGACTACATATTTCAGTGTTTTTGGTACTCATATGCATGCTACTAACATGTTGAGGAAAAAACAAATGTTAAACAATTTGAAACGGGTTGGTTTTGAATTACCAGTAATAAAATTTATATTCATTGATTTGAAGTTGTGCAATTTTTCTTTGTTTGAAACATTGATGGTATTTTCAGATAATGTAAAGGAAAAATTATCTTCTATGCAACCTTTACCATTTTAGCTCACCTCGATAAGTTGAGATGTGCTTATGCTAAAACCCTGGCCTTGGCATAGGAGTTAGCGTCAGCGTCCAGGTTAAAGTGTTAGGAGCAAGTCCATTCCCAAGTAATTATAAGCCCTGCCTGGACCATACTTGCATGGATGTTGCATCTAGGGATGGGCACTACCACATTTGCTTCAGATGCTGAATCTGACTTAGATTTTCCAGATGAGTGACCAGGTTTAAGTTTTTGGAGCAGGTTTATTCCCAATTAGCTAAAAGCCCTACCGGGACCAAACTTGCATGGATGATGCATATAGGGATGGACACTACACACTTAGATGCTGGATCTGACCTAGATTTTCCAGATAAGTGACCAGGTTAAAGATTTTGGAGCTGGTCCATTCCCAAGTAACTATAAGCCCTACCTTGACCAAACTTGCTTCGATGATGCATCCAGGGATGGACACTACCACACTTCCTTTTGATGCTGGATCTGAGCTAGATTTTCCACATGAGTGACCAGGTAAATATTTTGGAGCAGGTCCATTCCAAAATAACTATAAGCCCTACCTTGGACCAAACTTTCATTGATGATGCATCTAGGGATGTACGCTTACCAACCTGTTTTGGATGCTGGATCCGACCTAGATTTTCCAGATGAGTGAATTTTAGCCATATTTTAACCAAATTAACATTGATGATGTATCTAGGGATGGACACTTCCAGACTTGCTTTCAATTCTGAATCTGGCCTACATTTTCCAGATGAGTGACTAGGGTAATTTTTTTGGAGTAGCTATATAATATTATGGCATGTTATGATTAAACTGCATAGATAGTGCATCTGTATAAGGATGAAAACTTCCAGACTTGCTTTGGATGTTGGAACTGACCAAAATTTTTTTTACTAGTAAACAGGTTAAAAGTTTGTTTAAGCATGTCTATTTCCAAGTAACTATAAGCCCTACTTAAACCAGACTTACATGGATATTGATCTTGGGATGTACAGTGACACTAACTAGAAAAAAATATGATGTGAGATTTGTTTTAACTTATAGATAACAATCGTCAAGGTGAGCTTCCTAATCTTTGATTACCTATGTTTTACATTAACATGTATTTAGGATATTGATTTGAAAAAATTCTACAATAAAAACTATGTAATTAAAAAAAATCTCTGAAAAGAGTTTATGAAGGTAGTACAAAGAAGAGGTATTATTAACTGAAAAGCATGTATGTAAAAGCTTCACAGAGGTAGGAAGGAATGATCCGGGTCATTAAATGTAATGTGTTTATCATTGTTATTCACATTTCAAAAAACACTTATAAGCATCTATAAAAGCAGAGAAACAGCAATTATGTGCACTTAGAAAAAAAGTTGTTTTTGTACAAATAACTTCCTAATCATATAACGTACAGAAGTGTAAGAGCTCTGAAGTTATTCTCCCATGGTTTTCGTAAACAATACTCAACATCGTCAAAGTATAATTACATTATGACTTAACTAGCTTTGTATCAAGAAAGCGTTTTGCACTGGAGATTTTCATATTTGGTGATATATTTATAGGTTTTTATCTGAAAGAGTTCCTGAGCTTGAATATATTTGACGAGGCAGATATAAAAGCATATGTTTATGTATATATATATATATATATATATATATATATATATATATATATATATATATATATATATATATATAAACTAAAATTTAGAAAAGGATAATATTTATAAAAAAAATAATCCTTTTCCATGCATCTTCATAATACTGTCACATTCATTATTTTATGTGTCCAATTAATGCACAGATGTTGACAATTTTCATTTTGAAATGAAGTCAAACATAAATTAGCATTGGCCTTGGTGTCTACATAATACTTTTATCCAGCATGTTCAGTGTTCGCCTGTCCGTTGGCCTGAGACCCATAAATATTTGGGAGGATCGATAAATTAAAATTTAGTCTGTCCATTGTGCCGGTATAAAAATAAATTAAGGTTCAGTTTGTGAGACCAAGAACTTCATCAATAATAAATAGTCCAGGTAAAAAGCTTTTTTATGTAAGAATTCTTCTTACACTGTTGCTGTCATTGGGACATACATGTAATATACAGTCAAACCTTGTTACCTCGAACTTGAAGGGACCGAGAAAATACTTCAAGATAACCAAGGATTGGAAATATCCAATGTAAAAATTAAATCTTTTTTTTTTAAAAAAAAGGGAAAAAGACATTTTTAAACTGCTATTGCCCTTTTTGTGTTTTCGTTGGATAACCGTGCGCAAGAGCTCAATGAACAGTTTTTCTATACATGTATATTGATTGTGTATGATGATAATGAATGTGACAGAGATTTTGAAATCACGAAAAACTTGCTAATGACCCTGTCTGGATAATTATCACATTTTAAAGTGCATATGATTTATCAATATATATGTGTACCAATGGTCAGACATGGTTTATATCTAAAAAAAAAAAAAAAAGAAAAATGAGATGAGAGAGTCCTTAGAAATTCTGAGAATTCACATTGAAACTTAATTTTTTTTGAAGGGGGTTGGGGGGTTGGCGTGTCATATATTTAAAATAAATGCATGCTCAAATTTCATTAAAAAAATCACTTGTACCTATATAATAATTATTGTTTTCATTGCATCACAAGAATGTTTTTGATCAATATGCTTGAATGACCAGTGCACGTGACCATTATTTTATAACAACTTTTTCTGTGGATGCAGAAATTAAAAAAAATAAATAAGAAAAGGTGGTTAGCTTTGTCAGTAATTGCTTCCTTTACTTTATGTCGGAGAACATGCATTGTAACAGTCCGTGCCAGTATCTTTGTGTATACACATCAGCAAGATCAATTGATTTACAGTGTTAGATCTTGCATTGACCAGGAACAGGAGGAAATTAACGACTTTATTTTTTTCTGTTTTCTCAAGGTCATTTGCAATTTTATTACATGTTAGAATGTTGATCTTCCTGTATTAAGAGGGAGGCGTATAGGTGATGGTTAAATAGCGGTGTGATTGAAATACAAATTTATGCCTGTATTTAGGAAATTCATTTGTTTCAGATTATTCAAAGTATGATTAGTATAAGTGTGACCTTTGTAGTTTGTACAGTTTGTAAAACAAAGGAAACAAAATCTAAAGTAATATCATACAATATTAAAATAATTCACTCATTCCAAGAACTGTTCAAGTTTTAAGTTGTTTATATTCCAATTCTTCGAAGGCTTACATGGCTTTACAATCAGAAGATTGGGGAATTCATATCATTTGTATAACATATAATTTTACCATGTTTACAGCTTACAAAATTTTATGATTTTATATTACATTTGTACAAATATTTATTTGTAGGAGAGCACATAAAAAACTGGAGGAAGCGATATTTTATTTTACGACAGGACGGTTCATTCCTGGGATACAGAGCCAAACCTGAACATGGATTGGGAGACCCCCTTAATGACTTCACCGTCCGAGGTCAGTCTAAAAATAGAAATCATGTTAAAATACAAAAAGAAAAAGTGCTGGGACTTCAAACTCACATCATCTTGACGTCATAATATTCAAAATATCAGTGTTCTAGATAGCTTGTTAGACACGTTAGGTAATGATGTTAAATAATGTTAATGATAAATTACAATGGTATTGAAGAGGTAAGAAAAACTGAGTGTTGAATTGTATTGTATTACAGACTGTCAGTTAATGAAACAAGAGAAGCCAAAGCCAAATACATTCATTATACGTGGCCTACAATGGACGGTGGTAGTGGAGCGAATGTTTTACGTGGAGAGTAATGATGAACGCGAGGACTGGATTGCAGCCATTCGTTCTGTGGCCGAAAATCTCAAGGTCACCGAAGAAGAGGGAGGGATGCTGGAAAAGGAGAAAAAGAAAGTGGTAAATACTGATGTCATTTGTTATAAAAATAGAAAGTGGTAAATACTGATGTCATTTGTTATAAAAATAGAAAGTGGTAAATACTGATCTCATTTTGGTATGGAAGTGGTAAATAATGAGCTTATGTGGTTGTTAAACAGAAAGTGGTAAACACTGATCTCATTTGGTATACAAATAGAAAGTGGTAAATGCTGATCTTATTTGGTATGCAGGTAGAAAGTGGTAAATAATGAGCTTATGTGTTGGTTAAACAGATAGTGGTAAATAATGATGTTATGTTTAAACAAACAGAAGGTTGTAAATATTGATTTTTGTTTAGTGGTAGACAACCAGATCATTATAAATACTGATTTTATTTGGTAGACGATCAAAACATGCTATTAAATAATGTCCTTATTTCAAGACAAACAGAAGGTTGAAAATAATAATGTTATTTTTGAGGCAAATGGTGGTAGAACTAAGATAAGAATGTCATATTATTCCAAATATACTTACATGCACTTACTTGTGTGTACTTGCAGTCATTAGATGACTTTGAATTCCTCAAAGTCCTAGGAAAAGGTACATTTGGGAAGGTCATTCTATGTAAGGAGAAGACAACCAACCATCTGTACGCCATCAAGATCCTCAAAAAACAGGTCATCATTGCCAAGGTAGGAGTTATATCAATTACAGTCAAACCTTGTTATCCCAAAGTCAATGGGGCTGAGAAAAACCTTGAGATATTCAATGATTCAAGATAGGTTAAAATATGTTAAAAAAGTGGTTGGGACTTCAAACTCACTTCTAGATTTGTATTCAAGATATTTATGTTTAAGATGCTGAAGTACAACTGTAGTTAATTCTGTCGTTAATTGCAATAATCACAAACCTAGAAATGAAGAAAAGGAGAATATTAATCCATATTCTTTTTATTTTATAGATCTTGTGTGTTTTATTTGTTTAGGATGAAGTGGCTCACACCCTCACAGAAAACAGAGTTTTGCAGACCACAAAACATCCATTTTTAACAGTAAGGCTCTTAGTCTTCTATGTAGGACATAAACAAACTTGGCATCTCTAGTGTATGTTAAAAAATGTGTTTGTGGGGATCACTTTGAAATTTTAATATCCATTATATTTGCGGTTACAATGTAAAAGAATTCTGTTTCAAAGGAAAATGATTCTTCGTTTACTAATTTAGAGTTTCCTTGTAATAAAGAAAACAAATTTTTTGAAGAAAAGTGTAAAATCAAATTTAGACTTATCTCCCTTAGAAGATCATTTCTCCATAACTTTTCATGTTGAATCATTTTTCAAAATACTGAACTGCTCTTCTTTGTTTACAGCAACTGAAGTACTCTTTCCAAACGCCCGACAGACTATGTTTTGTTATGGAGTATGTCAATGGGGGAGAACTCTTCTTTCATTTATCACGAGAACGAATATTCAGCGAGGACCGGACACGGTTTTATGGTGCTGAAATTATTTCAGCATTGGGATATTTACATGAAAATAATATCGTATATAGAGATCTCAAGGTAAATTTTACATGTACTGTATGTGCTTATGAACTTTGTTATTTAAATGCAAATTACAATAATTAAAAGGTTATTAGTATATTTAGTGGCTCTTAGTCTTAATGTGAGCTGCAGATGTGACTGATATCTTTTTAGTGGAGTATAAGAATAGGATATTGCTACATTTAAATCTTCATAATTTAAGATGTATACATTAGTTTTATGGTAAACAATATTTCCACTTCAATGTATGGTAAGTTTAAAGCAGTAAGATAGTTGCTGAACTAGGGTCACATACATGTGCCTGTAAGAAATACACTTGAATGTTGTAGCTGGAGAATTTATTACTGGATAAGGATGGGCATATTAAGATAGCAGACTTTGGTTTGTGTAAAGAGGAGATGTATTATGGTGCTAGTACCAAGACCTTCTGTGGAACTCCAGAATATCTAGCACCAGAGGTAAAAATGATCACATTTACATGTAGTTAATATTGTTTTTTCGGAAACAAGATCCAAATTAAAAAAAAATCAATTCAGTGTGTAAGATGTTCTTGTGAAAAATTGTAATATTTATAGAATTTGTACAGGTCATTCTGAATATTTTGTGAAAAAATACCTTTCTTTGGTGATTTATGTATGAAACATTATTTATACATGTACAATACTTAAAAGAAAAGAAAATGTAACCCTGATTGATTCCCCATTGACAGGTGCTTGAAGACAATGACTATGGTCGTGCGGTGGATTGGTGGGGAACGGGAGTTGTGATGTATGAAATGATGTGTGGTAGACTGCCATTTTATAATCGTGATCATGACATTTTGTTTGAACTTATTTTGCTTCAACAAGTCAAATTTCCTCGGACGTTGTCAGAAGATGCTACCTCTTTGTTGTCGGGCCTGCTGGTCAAGGATCCCAAACAAAGGTCAGTTCTCAGTGAATGTAGAGATTCTCTCCTCAAGGACAGTGTGAGTTTTGTTTACTAAGAGGAGCAATTCTGATGATAGCAGTTTCTGTTATAGACCTTAAAAAGAACCTGAAACAAAATAGCAAAAGAGGTGGAATTTTAATTTTTTGTGAGTGAGGGTGGATATATAAGATGGACTTTAAACCACTACAATTGTTTTCTTTAATTGAATTTTTTCTGATCTCAATTGGCTCTGTCTGATACATCATGAATAAGACTTCTAATCTCTACGATTTCAAGATAAGAGAAATTGGTTAATCAGTATGGAGACACGTGTTTACAGTTTTCTGCTGTTTTTGTAGGCTGGGAGGAACAGAGGACGACGTCAATGTCATTAGGGTTCACCCGTTCTTTAAAAGTATCAACTGGCAGGACCTAGTGGAAAAGAAGGTCAGTAATACACTTAACATAGGGGACATATCAGTTATACACGTAAGTGATATATCAGTAATACACTTAACATAGGGGACATATTAGTTAAACACGTAAGTGATATATCAGCAATACACCTTAGGTGATATAGGTGTGAGGATGGGGCTTTTCATTAGAACCTTTAATCTCGGTGACATGTTAAATATAATTAAAATATCTACAATTTTATTGTAGAAAATAACTGCATCATTAGACATAACATTAAATGTATAATTTAAATGAGACATTGTAGTGTTAGCCAAGACAATGTCTTATGGTTGCTGATTTCATATTATAACTTGTATTTTAACTTAAAGGATTTAAAAAAAGAAGACTTCAGGTTAAGTTAATAAATGCTATTTCTTATTTGAAATTCCTATTTGAACAGTGTATTATATCCTTTTTCCCCTGAAAATATGCTCACAGTTTCTTTAATATTGTAAATGTCTGGTTATACATGTGTGTTATTTGTTCAGCTATCGTTTAATGTTTGTGGTCTGTTGGACTTCTCAATAGCGACCATGCTGACCAATCGCGGTTTGTACCCCTGTCAGTTCAGAGGTCACAAAGAGGCCAGATAACATTCTTAAGTTTCTGCATTTATCCTCTCTTAGCATTTAATCCTATCTCTTGATGTTGTCTGTGCATAATCTGTATGAAAATTCAAAAAAATAAAACAACAAAAATACAGCTTATCATTTCAGCATAACATTGCTTCCCTATTTTATTTTAATCCTGCAATCTTCAGTTGACAGAATTTTTCTTAAGCTTGGCATGAGTATATTTTTTAACCTTCATTTTGCATTGCATTTTTAACAATCATCATGGCATATCATAAAAAAATTTTGGTTGAATGACAAGTTAAGGGGCAGATAACTGTAGTCAGGTTATAGCGGGTCGCTAGCGAGCGGTGCACCATGCCAAAGGAGAATTCTGTCTTTTGTGTGTCCTCAGCATGTTCTGTTCCTCTCTCAGATTCTGCCGCCCTTCAAGCCTCAGGTGACCTCTGAAACTGACACCAGGTATTTTGACGACACCTTTACTGGGGAGTCCGTGGAATTAACCCCGCCCCAGGCACCAGCAATGCCGGAGTACGAGGCCTCGAGTTACTCCCTTGATCGAATTGATGAAGATATGACCGAAATGGAAAACATGCCGTATTTTGAGAAGTTTTCTTATCACGGCAGTAAGATGAGCCTAGCCCAAAGTCATAATAGTGTCATGAGTTTTGATACGTCATGGAGCTCATGATCAAACGTCACGGGAACCAAAGCCTCAGGACAACTAGTTGGAGCATAGGAGTATATGTGTTGAGTATTCAAAATATAAGTTGACTGTATTTAATGTTAAAAAGGTTTTGAGAGATGCACGATGAGCATTTGCTATATCACCAATTATATTTTTTGGAATTATTTTCAAGTCTTCATAAATGTGTGTCATTGAATTTCAATACACAATGAATTCAATGATGAGAAACTTTTATGCTACCATTGTTCGTAAGTTGATGAAATACAGTATATATGTTTTCTGTAATGTTCTTATTCTTTAAGGAAATAATACAGGTAGTAATTTTTGGCTTAGAAGAAAAGAAGAAAGGTTGTTCATATAAAGTTAATAATTTTCTCCTCATGGAAATAAGATTCATCAAATATAGAAATATGATTTTTATTTGTTTTCAATAGGAATTTTATATTTGTGCCTGGAGCATCTTGTGTTCACTATAGTACATGTGAAAACTGTAAGCTTTGTTTTTATGTAGGTTGGATAATTAAATGAATTCTATTTCCCCTTTAAAGAGCTTAATCAATGTAAATCTACAATGAATGAATGTTTCCTATGGTCGTATTTTTAGAGTGCAAGTGCTACCTACAAGAATTTTTCAAATGAACTAAATTCATGTATTTAAATGGTTTACATTGCAATTGATTTGCTGATTTAACATCTCAATTTGTGTTGTGTTTTGGACATCTAATACAGGGACTTTTTTTTGGTCAATGAATCAGATAATTTCATTGTGAGGTTTTATCAACTTCATATTGCAGATTTATGGATCACAAAGATGGTATTGATGAAATTCATAATAATTACACTACTTACATAATGTTTTCTGTCATGACATACCATGTAATCAACAAATGTACATGTATGTCTGCATGATATAATTAGTTATATATCATTTGTAATACATGTACAACATAATTTGTTTGGCATACTGTGTTGACAGGTTGTATGAAATATCATTTATTGTATGCCATTTAACAACAAGTTAACATTTTACTATCATTGAATAATATCTTACTACCAAAACAAACCCCCCCCCCCCAAAAAAATGCTCACCGAGAGTAAAGCCACAAAATTTTATTTACTTTCAATTATGATCTACTCAGATGAAAAAGAAATAAATCTATGATTATATAAAGATTTAATTTAGGTTGGGAAAAACTAAAACCTGCCCTAAGTTTACGTAAAATTTATTTTCATTCATTTTAATCAGATGTAGAGAGAGGATGAAATGTCATGTAAATGTATGTAATTTTTATATATATGAACCATGTTCCATCTGTGTTTTTCACCACATTAGGAATTTTTCAAACAAATTTTTAGGGCATTTTTTGCTCTGTCAAATTTTGACCATTAAAAAACCCCCCAAACTTTGTTAGTTTGAAACAAATGACAAAAATAAGTTGTTAGAATAGAATTTCACTTTTTACAGATTTTTTGCTCCCTGGCTTATTTTGATGAGAAAGGAAATTTATTGTAGCTGATTTTTATAAAAAAGATTTGAAGGCTTTGTACCATGAGAGTATTGCTAGATGGCTTCCTTTTAGCTTGGCATGCCAGCTGTGGCTAAAGAGAACACAGGTGTAATTTTTTTTTTTGAAAATTGTAAAACCAGCAATTCTTACCTTTCTTACAAAAATATATATAGTCTTCTTTTGCCCAGAAATGTAGAGATATGTCTTCAGCTGTATTGAGCATTTTAGTATAAAATGTGGAACAAATAAAGGTTGTTATTTTCTGGATGAATGAGGCCAGTAAGCAAGGAACCAATATTTAATTTATTTTTAAAAAAAACTGTCAGGGTTCTTTTCTGAATGTTTTGTATGATATTTTCTCAGCTCTGTTCTTGTGATAGATTTTAATACATGTAATTTTTTTTAAAGTGTTCATGAATGTTTTTTTAAGAATGTTTAATAAGATGATATATTTTGTGTTCAATTTTTATATTAAAACCATGCTTATCAGTTTTAGCAGTACATATATTACTTAATCTTAATGATTCTTTATTCATTATAGACTCTCCAGGAGAGATGATTTTTATTTGATGTTTTAAGAGCAAGTCTCAAATTCGTGAAGAATTTCTGTGAGTTTTCTTAAACAATGATTTTTACTGTATATCTATTTATTATGTGTGAAAGGTGTGCAGTTTGTGAACAATTTGTCATTTATTATCAATCTGACAAATCAGTCAATCAGTTTAGATATAAGTAATGAACCATCAGACTGACAAAATCGTTAGTCCACCAGTTTAGATATAAGTAATGAACTTTCAGACTGACAAAATCAGTTAGTCCACCACTTTACATACAAGTAATGAACCCTCAGGCTGACAAAATCAGTCCACCAGTTTACATATAAGTAATGAACCATCAGACTGACAAAATCAGTCCACCAGTTTAGATATAGGTAATGAACCCTTAGGCTGACAAAATCGGTCCACCAGCTTACATATAAGTAATGAACCATCAGGCTGACAAAATCAGTCCACCAGTTTACATACAAGTAATGAACCATCAGGCTTACAAAATCAGTCCACCAGTTTACATATATAAGTCCACCAGTTTACTATTACTCTAAAATCTGACAATATTGGTCAACTAAAACATAAACATAATTAACGGTTTTATGTGTTCTCTAGGGTACAGAGAGGATAAGTAAGTAGTAAGTAACTTATATAATTGACAAAAAATGACAAAGAAATGACAGAAAATTAGTTGACAAGGTAACTGTTATCTGATGTTTATGTTTATCTGACATTGTCAAAATATTTTAATGCTGTTATAGTAAATGTGTGTATAAGTAAAGTGATCAGTATGATACATAAAGATATATAGCACCAGTAGATTGGAACATTGAGAATGTTAACAGAGTTATCAAACCTTAATATCATGTATAAAAAAGTTTGTGTATAATTATTGAATTTGTTTTATTATATTGAGATGAACCAACCAGCCTTTTAATAAAGGTTGTTTTTATGATCAGAGAGAGAGAGAGAATTTTGGGTTTTTTACCTTTTTATAAAGAAAGGGCCGGGTAATAAAGATGTGCATCATTACAATGTACTACAACAGTATGGTATTATAATAGTATACTACAACAGTGTATTGCACAAGTGTACTACAACTATAATGTACTGCAACAGTGTACTTTAGTGCTGTACTTCATAGTTTTACTACAATAATGTACCACAGTTATGAACTATCTAAGTGTACTGCATATGAACATGACAACAGTGCACTGTAAATGTGTACTTCAGATGCACACTGCAACACATACTAGATTTGTTGATTTAAGCTGAAGGAAGATGACTGCAAGGTCAATTTCAAAAGGAAATGCTAGATTAGGAAGGTACTATAGATTAATATAAATAAGGAGAAAGGGATTCAAGTCCATTTTATCCTTTGATTTGTTCAGAATTTGAAAGATTTTTAAATATGATGATATGTAGTTGCCAAATTGTAATTACATGTACTATGCTTATCTGACAACACTTTTATCTGACACAAAAAGTTAAGTATGCTTTATGATATACAAACTTTATATTTCCAACATGAAAGATAGATACAATTTTGGAGTTAAAAGGTCAAGGTCAAATGTCAGAATTACATAGTTGATGCAATAACTTGGATATTTTATTTAACATATTTCTTTATATTTAATATAAAGGAGGAAGGTGATTAGAGAAAAATACATGTTTAAGTTTTATTAAATCAAAGATCAAGGTCAGTCAAAAGTCAAGGCCAGTCAAAGATCAAGGTCAGGATTGCTTATTTTCCTTTGGACATTCTTATGTACAGTACAAACATTTAGAATATCTCAAATTGAAGATGCCATATTCAGTATGCAAGAAGACAACATGAAATTGAGGCAGATTGTCTTTGTATAGATCAAAACTAGGGATGGGTATCGCCAAAAATTTCAAATTGCAATTCACATATCACGATTTTTTCCCAGAATATCACGATTTTGGATGCTAGGATGTCATTCTTTTACCGTTTTCAACATTTTTAACACTTCATGTAATTATAATTTCAAAGACTGAACAAATAAATGAATAATTTCTGGAATTTATAACTGTGTAGCTGAACACCAGTATTTTAATCTCCATATCAAGATAGGTATCACCCAAATAAAAATCATGATATACCGGTATACCGATAAAATTGCTCATCCCTAGTCAAAACATCCCTGTTCTTCATGTTACTGTTGGAAGGAATATCTCATAGGTTAGTAACATACTGTTTTCTTTGATTAATTCTGCTATATTGTTGTGTTCTGTGAACAATCTTAAGGGTTATTGTTAGACCTTATAAAATTATTACCTTAAAGTTATTACCTTATAAAATTAACATGCAGTACATTATTTCAGACATGACGCCAGTGTGTTCCAGATAAAGATTAAGAGTGTAAATTGATACTAATAAAACAGTTTTGTAATTATTTTGCCCCTTGAAAGGTATTGAAAGTTTTTGATCTTTGAATTCTATTAAAACCTAAATTCATGTTAATTTATTGTGTTGTCATAAGTTGAAAACAAGCCACTGTGATAAGATATTTTTTTTTATAAGTTCTGCAGAGATGTAGAAGTAGACTTGAAATTATAAAGTGAACAACGGAACTCCCTATTGCACCAGTAGAGGGAGTACACCCACTGTGTGCTTGAAATTCTAAACATTAAAGAAAATGTTTAGAACAACAGGTGCCTGTGAATACACCATATATGCATCTGTGTTTGATACGATCAATACCATACTTCTCTGTACTAAAATGAAAATTATTCAATGACATGAATCTGTAGAGCTTGTACTACAAGATAATTCACACTGTAATATTTGATAGATTATTCTGTGGTGTTCGTAGCTTAGAAATTCATACTGTTGTAACTATAGATAATTTGTAATGTGGTACTGCTACATTGTATAACTGTTGGATAATTATTTTAGTACCTAATTCATGCTATGGTACTGCTATGACTGTTGAATAATTTGTAGTACCTAATTCATGCTGTGGTTCTGCTATGACTGTTGGATAATTTGTGGTACCTAATTCATGCTATGGTACTGCTATATGAACTGTTGGATAATTCATACTGTGGCCCCAGTGCTATGATAAAGAGCCTGTAGAGTGAGAGAGCATATAGTAACCAGAGACTTAACTCAATGTACATGTCAAATGTCAAACTGTATCAAATTTAACAATAAAATAATTAACACCAATTATTTCTCAGTTTCTTTAAAAGGTTCATTTGATAAATTAAAAAAAAAAAAACATTTTAGAGGCAGATCAGCAATTATCCTCAAGTGTTTGTTTATCTGTAGACAACTTGTTTAGAACTTTTTTTATGCCACCATAATCAAACATTAGGGGACATATAGTTTTTGCCCTGTCTGTCTGTCTGTCAGTCTGTCTGCAAAAAACTTAAACCTTGCCCATTACTTTTGATTGGCCTTACATGTATGACTTGTATGACTTTCATATTTCACATGTGTATTTCTTGTGAAAAGACCTTTGTTTGGGTACCTTCAAATTTGACCTTGACCTTTGAGTTTGACCCACTTTTGCTAAATTTTATCAGACTTTAACCTTGGCCATAACTTTTGAACTGTTGGTGCTAGGGCTTTTAAACTTCACATGTGTATTTCTTGTAACAAGACCTTCCTTCGGATACCAACAACTTTGACTGTTTGACCTTGACCTTGGAGTTTGACCCACTTTTGAAAAAAAACTATAGCCTTGGCAATAGCTTTTGAACAGTTGGTGCTAGGGCTTTCATACTTTACATGTATATTTTTTGTGACAAGACCTTATGAATACATACAACTTTGACACTTGACCTTGGAGTTTGAACTCCTTTTGTATAACTTTAACCTTGACCATAACTTTTGAACATTTGGTGCTAGGGCTTTCATACTTCACATGTGTTTTCCTTGGGACAAGACCTTCCCTAAGATACCAACAATTTTGACCCTTTGACCTTGACCTTGGAGTTTGACCTACTTTTGAAAAATTTAACCTTTGTCATAACTTATGAACATTGGTGCTAGGGCTTTCATACTTCATATGTGTATTCCTTGTGACAAGACCATCCTCTTTCTACCAACAATTTTGGCCTATTGACCTTGACTTTCGAGTTTGACCTACTTTAAAAAAAACCTTTTAACTTTGGCCATACCATTTGAATGTTTGGTTCTAGGGATTTCATGTACATGTGTATCACTTATGACAAGACCTACCCTTGTGGCACCATTTGACCTTGACCTTGATTTTTTACTTATACTTTTGAAAAACTTTAACCTTTGCCATAATTTTTCAATGATTGGTGTTGGGGCTTTCATATTTCACAGGTATAATCCTTGAGACAAGAACTTTCTTTGGGTACTAACATTTTTTATCTTTTGACCTGGAGTTTGACTTGCATTTGAGAAACTTTAACCTTCACCGTAAGCTGCCATACTGGGGCATCAGTGTTTCACAAACACATCTTGTTTTCACTAAAAGCAAAATTTTATTACCATTCATCATAGATTTTTATCAGCATATTTAGATTAAAGGTTATGCATTGACCAAATGTTTTTATTCTGTTGTTAAAGTGAAGCATACTGTCTTGTCATTTCCTTTTCTGGGGGATATTTCTTACATCTAGTCTTATTCATACATGTACATATACATGCAATGTCTCCATCTAGTATACATTGGATGATGAACTAGAGAAAATGAGGGCCTGTTCTGAGAGAAAATTAAAGTCGTAAAAATATGCGACAAGGTTGAATAGAGGGTTATTTGTAATCCAGCTCCTATTATGACTGTGAGCAGGAGTGAAAAGATATTACACTATTTAACCTTTGTGTAGTGGGGATGGGGGGGGGGGATGGACTGGGGAGACAGATATAGTTGTATACCCAATCTTGATGCTTGTGTCAAATAAAAATCAAGAATATAAGGTGTGTTGGGATTATAGATGGAATGACAGAAAAATTAAATACCATCTGGGATATTACTTCTTTGTTAATATACATCTAAGAAATAAACAAATAAAGATTTCAGTATCTGTGTGATCATAAAATTTTCCTTTTTCATCCAAGTACTTTGTTAGACATATTGAAAGAAATGCAACTGTCCATATGTTGATTTGTGTTTTCCTATGCTATGAAAAAGTAAGATAACCTAAGTGTGGATCTATATATTTTTCTCATTCTTATGAAACTTGATTAAAGAGCATGTCATTAGAAGGAAAAATAACAAAGAACGTTTCATTGATAGATTCAGCCCCCATGGAAACCTGATGTGAAGAGTGCCTGGGACACAAAATACATCCCTGATGAATTCGCCCGTGAGAACACGATTTTAACACCACCAGGCCAGGAACACTTGTCAGAGAGCATGAGGCATGAATTGGATGCCATTGATGAGGAGGGGGAACTTCCATACTTTGAGCAGTTCTCATTTCATGGGAACAGCAGCAAGAGTTTTGGTGGATACCTGAGTGAGTCTGTGAGACATACTGATGAACTGTTCTAATGTACCGGTGGAATGACTTAAAAGCATACTCGCATGGTCATGTGACACAAGGGGAGGAGTTATGTGGTCATGTGACCAGAGAATTGTACAGAATGGTAGATAAATGCAATCTCAGTATTAAGATAAAGAATTATTTAGGTAAAAACAATTTTTCATTCCTTGATCTATATATATATTTTTCTTCGAAGAAAAATAATAAATTATATATGCATACTCTCTAGACAAAGTTGTCAATTAGTAATGCAGTTATTATGAACAGTAATCCTTGCTGTTAAAAAAACTGTCTTTTATAAATCTACCTCTGTTTTCATGTTGTCAGTCAATCAGTTCTCGATACTTATTTCAGCCAAAAAAAAAAAATTATATGTAATTATGTTTTTGTTTTGTTAGATCTGTATTTCTGTTGTGGTTGTCCAAATATTGTCTTTGGTGCAATATTGTTCTAGCAATAGAAAAAAAAATCACTTGTTTCTTTTTTTTATTGATTTCAAATTTCTCTAGCCTATAATGTTCTTTATTTTTTTCTTTTTCCCTATTAAGAAAAGCTATGAGAAAGGAACAGGAAGCATTAAGGTGTAATTGAAATCAGTCTTGAAATCATTATATGATTGCATTTTTAGCTGGTAGAACAGGTGTTATATTTATGTGTAAGTTGCTTAAGTATTTTATGCTTTGGTGAGGTCTTATTTGTAGGGATATAATCTGCATACAATTGATGGTGTATAGTTTTAATCAACCAATCTAAAAAAATAATTTAACCTATCAATTTCAATCAGATAGGTCTAGTATAATTTTCAGAATTATTATTTTTTTTTATTATTACATGAAGGCACTTATTCCTTGTAAAAATTTTAAAATGGATATATTTTTTTTTACTTCAGAAAATTTCTGTTTATGATTTGAACCATCAGCTACTGTACCAGAGAACAGAGTACACCTTATTTATAAAGTAACACAATTTTCAAAGCTATCAGATTTTTTTTTTTGCCAAGATAATTAAAGCAATTATTTTATTGTGACCAAAAAAAGGTTGGTAGAGACTGCATGGGAGAATACTTGTATTACATTTTCTATCCCATATACTGGAGAGATGTCAAATTCAGTAATTTTTTGCTGGTAAAAATGTAATGTTACAGTTCTGTCCCTTTATTGGAGAGATGTCAAATTCTGAAATTTTTTTCTGGTAGAAATTTAATATTACAGTTTCTGTCTCAAATACTAGAAAGATGTCAAATTCTGTATTTTTTTTGCTGGTGGAAATGAATGTTATTGAGGTTCACAGTAATGCTATGGATTACTTAGCTGAGATACAATCAATTAAAAAAAGCCTTGTCAATTTTAATTCTTATACTCCATCCATCTAGTTTTATCATTGGTTTATCTATTTAATACTGAAAAAACCTAGTCATCATTTTGTTACTCACTCGTCAGTTAGTAATTTTTTGTAGTTATATTTACAAATTGGTTTACAGAGATGGCAACAATATTTGCTTACTAGCAGTACTTTAGTTATTCATACAAGTGGTTCTGAGGACTTGTTGTAAATTCTGGGAGCTGAATGTACAATTTTTGGGGGGTTCTAAAAATAAAAAGCCAAAGAATGAATATTATGGTGGGACTGAAAAAAAAACAAATCTTACATAGGACTGGAAATTCCTGGAATTGCGTTTAATATGTGAACTGGCCATTATTTCATAATTTGTAAGCATATAGGCATTGATGATTTAATTAAGGGTAGTCTATGTGATTATCAATTTAGAGAACAAGAAAACCATACTGATATGACTTCAATATAATTTTTTTAAAAAGTTCTGGTACTTTTATTGTAGAAAATATCTGGGCAATATCAAGAGATAATTTATGATAAAAATTTTGAGACCTCTTCCATAATATATTTGATTTATATGACTTGATAATTTTCCCCTCCTTATTTGACTCGCCATTCTGATCTATGGGGTATATTAATGGAAAAAATTATTTTATTTCCACCCCAAAAAAAGTATTTAAAAAAGAAAAAAGCGAATTGTTCACAGAAGCAACAGTACAGTCCATATGTGTTGTTTTTATTTTTGTCATTGCAAAAATGGAAACCAAATTTGATTTTTGGACATTAGAGTAGCAGATGTCCTTGATAGTTTAAGCAGATAATATTGTTGTGCTGTTTAATGTACAGAAGGTCAGAACAGAAAAAAAACATATGAAGGCTATTAATTGGTTGCTTTTCAAATGGAATTTTTTCTCACTAGAAAGGGGGAGTGGGTGATAGTACTTCTTTTTAGACATACTGTTAACTTCTCCGATTCCAGTATTTCATTATATATGGGAACTTTTATATTCTTTGGATATGACAGTTGTTTTTTGTACAATGGAAGATATTTAATTGTGCCTGATTTTCTTCTTTTTTTTTTATATGTAAACTGAGATTACACAATGCGTCAATGCTTAATCTTCAATGTAAATCATGTTCATAATGAAATCCTTTTTATATAGATATGTTCTGTTGTGTTTTTATGCTGTTAAGAATTTTGCTATCTTGATTTTACTAGGTTGGTCTTACTTTGTCGTCTCTGCAAAACAAATAATCTGTTACTCTTAGAGCTACAGTTCTTACAGAGATAAAACACTGATACCATGTATTCAATATTTATAGCACATTATTGCAAGTTTTCTTTCACATTTTTACAGTTTTTATGTTGGTGTTTCATTTTAAGCCCCCCGATTTTAGACCCCCAATTTTTTTTTTACACCTGTTGATATACTATTTTTATTACATCAGACAGCTTTAATAATACAGACAGCACAAACAAAAGGTTCTTCCAATCTTATATAACTAATAAGGACCAATGTTATAATGTTGTGTGTTAAAGTACCAATAAAGTTGTTCTAAAAGGTGCTTCATTTGTCCTCATTTTTCTATTTCTTTTTCGTCCCCTGCTTTCACTGAAAGTGGAGGTATTTTAAATTTTGGGCTCTCTGTCCATCATGGGAAGGCTCGGGTTCGATTGTCGTTCGACGCGCAGCGTCAAACCAAAGATGCCAAGCGCCCGGCACTAGAAATGAAAGTCACAGATCTTTCCGAGGAGGTCTTAAAAACAAAGGTCCCAGGCGTTGGTACGATAAAGAACCCTCACTGCTCAATGGCCCTGAGTGCCGAGTATAGGTCTAAATTTGAAGCCCTTCACCGGTGGATGGTGATGTCTCTGTATGAGTGAAAAATTCGTGAATGGGACATAAAACAACTCTGTCATTCTGTCATTTCGTTTGCAGACGATATCTCAAAAAGTCTTTGAGTTTTTTCACTGAAATTTTACATCAGTGACTTAAAAGAATACACCTATTGATTTTTAGGTCCAAAGGTATAGGTAAGAAATTTGTCCATTGCAAAAAATGGTTTCCAAATAATAACTTTTAGTTTTCTATGAGCTTTTTCTATGAAGTCTTTTATAACTCCCAATGACTTAAAGAAGACCTATAATGAGTTTTAGCTAAAAAATCAAGGTCAAAAAATTCAAATCTTGTACATGTATAAATTGGTTTTCTTAGTGATAACTAATTCTCTGAGAGGTTTTGAAATTGAAAAATTATACCTTTAGTCAATATGACTGAAATTATCGGTATTAATTTTGAGGTCAAAAGGTCAAAGACAAAGGTAAGAAATTCATATATTGCAAACATAGTTTTCAGATGATGACCAGTTCTCAACGTACGCTCATGATTTTTTTTTAACTTAAAAAGACCTCTACTGACTTAAAGCCAAAAGCTGAAAGATCGAGGTCAACCTTTTTTCTCTTAATTTAACTGCATGTCTTCAGGTCTTCTACCATTTTTTCCCCTGAAGCAAGGGACACAGATTTCCTGAATTAGATTGTTTTTCCTCTCGAGATGATAGGAAGATATAGAGTCAATAGAAGTAAATGCTACATAGTGTCAATGAAGTAAATGCTAGTCTTTATTTTTATCAAAGGTCACTCTATCATGATGTTTTGCCATTTAAAATCTTTGAAAGCCAGACATTAAGCAAAGGAACACACTTTAAGTCGTACTTTAAGCTCAAAAGGGACTAAAGTCTGGCTTCATGCAGCTGCTCAAAGATTGAATGCTTTATTAAATTTGAGTGAGAATCGGGAATCATATACATCAGTTTTAAACTAGACCTTGTGTTTCTGAGGTTTTTTTCCTCTGTATACATTGTACATGCCATACTAGTATGTAAAATTTGATCCCTAATTTTAGCCCCTCTTAACTCGGGTCCATAATTTGAAAGAAAAAAACTTGAATCCAAACACTTTGGCCCCGTTACAATGTAAAAGAATTTTTCTTTAATTTCCTATACTTATATAAAGCTTTTTAAAATTCCTGTTTTAGCCCCACCCTAGCCCTAGGGCCTATGAATTAACATATTTGAATCTACATCAACATGCCTGTATATTAATATTGCCAATCATGGCCTAGTTATCCTACCATCGGTGGTCGTCATTTGAATTTGCACTACCAGAGAATGCTTTCTTACTTTAATATCTACTAGTAATTAAAGGCCTAGCGATTCTTCAGAAGAGGATTTTAAAATAAAAAAAAAAAAACCCTTTATATCCCAATGTATAACTTAAATCCCCTATTGTGGTCTAAAAGTTCCCCTTGGGGGACTTACGATTTAGACAATTTAAATCTGCAGTAAAAGAAGATGTTTGCATATTTGTATCACTATTCATGGCCTTGCTGTACTGAAAGGAAGATTAAAATTAAGGTGATTTCCTATGTATCCCAATGTTAAAAAAACAAAGCAAAACAAAAAAACACCCCCCCCCCAAAAAAAAAAAAACAAAACAAAACAAAACAAACAAACAAACAAACAAAAAAAAAGATCCACAACTGTGACCCCTCTTTATCCTGGGGGCCAGGATTTGAACACATTAGAATCTACACTTATTTGGGAAGCTTATTCCTAATTTACTTTCTTTTCTGTCTAAGTGGTTCTTAGGCATACTTTTGAAAGGTCACCAAATTCAATATTTCTTATTTATCTTCCCTTAAAAAACTTTGCCCTTCGTTTCAATAAATCTATAAATCCCCTTCTAATTGGCCTTCTGGTTCTTTAGAGAAGTTCATATGTAAGTTTACAGACAAGCCAAACGATAGACAGACGAACATTTTGTAATCAAAAGCCCACTTGAGACTTTGTTTCAGGTGAGCTAAAAATTATATTTTAAGTTAAATCATTGATATAATTATTACGAGTTCCTCATTGACAATACCTATTTAGTCTTTGGAGACGAGGTCTTTCAACAATCTTTTGAAATTTCCATGGGAACTAATTGTGCCCCCGTTATTAGCTGACCTGTATTTATATTCATATGAAGCACAATTTATTCAAAAACTTTGGCCATGCTACATTAGAAGAAGAAAACTCTTGCTGTGACCTTCAATCGACACTAAAATACATCGACGACGGTGTATCAATAACAAAAGTTACTTTCATTCATGTGTCGACTTAATACTAGTATATCCCGGTGAATTCGAAATTAAAACACTACAGAGTCTACCAAATCTGTGTCATATTTGGATGTTTTACTGACTATAGACGATAATGACAACTAATAACTAAACTGTTTGACAAATGGGATGACTTCAGCTTTTCCATCATCAACTTCCCATATTCACGTGATAGTAATATTCCAACATCACCTGCAAATGTTGTTTATGTCTCCCTACTGATTCGATACGAATGGGCATACTATGAGTACGATCAATTCTTAGACCGAAGCAAGCTACTGACAAATAAGTTGATGATACAAGGATTTTAACTCAGCTTTTTGCAAATTCTACGGATGTTATAATGAATTTTGACTGTGATAATTGTCGGTTTAAAAAGTGTTTAAATAATGGCCGTGGGTAGGATGGGGTGTGATGGTACATATTGTTCTGTACATGTCGTCGGCGACAATATAGTTCTTTTCCTTTTTGGTCTAATGGATTTGTCATGATCAGTTCTAGCTAGATCAGCTCAATTATTTTTTCATTAACACAACCAGGAGAAAGCGACCGGTTTTTGGAGCACTTCTCAAAACAGTACATTGCTTGGATTCTAAGATTAATCCTAAACTGTGTGTTTTGTTGACACTCAATTCACCAGATGGCAATTATCTGTTTACAATGTACCTTAATTGTTATATTTCATACTGAAATTATTTTTTTTAATGAAAGTTTAAACGTTATTAAATATTCTTTGAAGTTAAGGTTTATCTAAAATAGTATAAAAATTTAAATGTGTAGTAATTGTATATTTTATAAAAGTTAGTGCACTTAAATATACAGAGAATTTATTTCAATACGTTAAATTGTTTAATTAATTTTTATTATTTAAAAAAATATTTTATTTAAACATTGACTGCATGTCCATTTGTAATTTTAAAGAACAAGTATACTGAAACGCAAAAAAGAAACGCAACATCACATTTCAGGGGGAAATAATACATATAGGATATAATTTTGTATCTAAAAAGTAAGTTCTTCAACTTTGTAAATATCGGTAATTTAACGGTTGAATGATTTTCATACCATTACCGGAGGTTAAATTTGAGTCTGCTTAACAAATATCAAAAATTGCATGTTTAACAAAATATTTGGGAATATTATGGGGTTTTAAGGTATTGTATCTGTTTATCATAAGTAAATCAGCAATGTTCCGAAAAATAAATTCCCCTATCTTTTCCGTAAGCGATGCCAAGGATTCCTGAAAATGGCTTCTTCCATTGCTCTACCTGGAAAATCTCAATATAAAGGTGATGGAGAGTTGCAGATGCAAATATGACCTACATCACGCCTCAACAGGCTCTTACGTATCATTAGCATGAATGACAGCCCTTGGACCGGAAGTCCAAGGGTTACTACACTGCGCTTGGCTAGAGAAAATTCAACCTCATCATCTGAAAAACAGACATTTAAAAATGGCAAAGAATATTTCTTTCGCTCAGATCTCGAGTTCGATGAACCTATTGCATCGTAGAAATCAAGCTGCATTTGTTGTGCATGGTAGACTTGCACGCTGTAATTGAATGGCCGGGGTGGGGGTTGTTTTTACAGTCTTGTGTTACTTTCTAAAGTTAAAGGGTTTTTATCAGGTCTCAAAATTTTTTTTATATGACAAAGTTTACATGCTATTAAAATCATATATTTAAAGATCTTTGCTAGAAAATTAATATTTTTGATGTTTCGGCGATTCAAAGTTTGAATTTCTCAATATGAATATTTTGATCGCCGATGTTACGCGCCATCGCGCTGACGTCATAGGTGTGAATCCTGGTCAAGCGAAGTACTTATTGTGTGTGCAAAAGGGCTCATTTGTTGTGTCTATTAAACCTGTTTGAAAATAATTAAGTGATAATTGAATAATTGACAGCATATAAGGAATAATGTATGACTTTATGGTGCACAAATGTGCATAAGAAAGGTTTTAGGAAGAATTTTTTCCACATTTTCTGGACTTGGTCGAGAGATGAGAGGGGGGTCTTTCTCTGCAAATGCTATGGCGTTTCCATTCAGAACAATCGTTTATGCCCAATCGATCACAATTTTTTTTCTGTACTATAAAATATTTTAAGGAAAGATACTTTAAAAAAAAAATAATAAATGACAAACACATTTTTTAAAATTCGCACAGAATCTAGTAGGAATGTTGTGAACTTTGTAATGGCGTACGTCGCCATTGAAGAAGTGTCATTTCTAGTATATAATATTCACTGCTAGAACAGATAGAAGATATACAGGATTTATTTTTTCATAATCAATTAAAATAATAATGAATGAGAATTTAAAATTCCCATATTTATAAATGTTTACCAAGTTAAACTTTAGTAATTCGTTCTATTTAGTTGAAGTCCCGAGTTGTCAACGGCT